ACTCAAGCTTAAGAGAAGGCAACTTTGGCGCCATGTTTCACCATGAAATCAATAAAAGTCAAGGACAATCTCTTAACTATGCCGGCTTGTATCTTCCGAAGCAAGTATTTACCAATTGTCAATTATATGTGGATGTCTCCCGAGTAACAATAAGAGAAGGATTAACCATACTAAATGTTGACGAGGACGCACATGATCCTACATTCATTAAAAATATTGTTTACGAAGAGATATTCTAAAATATATGTCCTATGGTTGCTGAGACACGCGAGGTATTTCTTACTCTTTTTCAAACTATGACATGCACTTTATACAATACTACAAATAGTTACTTCATTATAATTATTTTAAAATGTTTGTGATTCAGGATAAATAGCTATACCATTGATGATTCATGATGGAATGAGCTCTCAATCCTGATGATAATTTTAAACGTCCTGGTTCAGTTGCGCTTAACCATCCAAAAATGCAGATTATTACTTTTCCCAAATGGCTGTGCTATAATGAATGCATAACTGATGTTTGTCGTATTTATATATTTTTGTATTTACTCTAATGAATCGAAAGAATTTATAAAAACTACAATTGGTGTATAATTATCTAATGTGTTCACTTATTAAATGTTCAGGTAGTAACACAATTCAAATTTATTATTTTGTTTCTCATGCGCGATCATGCTTCTAAAGTAATTATATTGAAATTGTTTTGTACATGTCCAATGCTTGCCAGAAGTCTCTACATTTTGGTGAGATTGTATGACAATATAGTGAAAGGAGTGACATTGAATGACATCATTCATGAAGTTCGGGCGGACAATTTACCTAGTTATTAACTATAATAGTGAAATTCCACACCTCCAATCTTCAATATGTTTCTTATACATGAAAAGGAAATGAAGTGACTAAAACAAGTAGACGTTGAGCCTAATCCACTTATAGCACCTTTGTCTTTATTAGACTAGCTAATCGATATATTGAAAATTTAATGTTAAAAGAAAATTAGACGTTGAGTCTAATTCACTTTGAAAATTAGCTCAAATTATGAGGATTGTCCAAAACTATATAAGGAGACAACAATCATGTACACTTGGCCAATGTAAGACTATAGCATCACACACGCTAGGGGTTTAACATTTGGAGCGTGGATAACGTGATATGCAGCTCTAAAAACTTGGATGGTTGTGGCTCTAGTACCATATCAATAAATATGAAACTTTTTATATAGGAATTAAGTTATATACATCGACAACATAATGAAATTCTTTTACAATTTTTTGTAAAACTGCATGAACACAAAAGGATTCATGCACCGTTTTTTTAGTGTAATTCAACATATTATATTAGGTTATTTACGATTTATTTGAGATATTCACCAATGAGTGTTGCTTAATATAATGAACTACAATTATCGTTAAGTTGAACAGAAAGTATAAATATTTTTGAAGTTGTCAATGCTTAATACTTAAATTATTATATTATGTTCGTTTTCTTGTTTGTGATGATAGCCAAATCAAACTTTTCAGTTTGAGTTCCAAACCTCAACATCCGATAATCCACCACTTTATTCTTTCTCTTCTTCCTATATATATATATATATATATATATATTATTTTTTTGAAATTTGTTTTTTTGGTCTTAAATGATTAATTTTTTTAAAAAGAATTATTTTTGTTAGTATATAATTTTATAAAATAAATTTAAAGGCCTCTCAATATGATTTCGCCTTTAGCGAGGGATTTGCAGCCATACCCTATATTTGTGCCACCTTTTAACCTGTACCCTATTTTTAAAAATTATTGATTTGGTAGCCAGCTGACACAAAATCCGTAATTACATGACAATTATACCCCTGACAAAAGATATAAAACATGCATCATGCATTAATTGCGTGATCTGCAATCTCATCCATGAATCTCCTCCTCTGCTCTTAGCAACTTTATTAAAAAAACATAAACTTATCCAGATTCATCTTCAGAATCACACTTGCATGAAGTTGTTTCATGTTGAAGCTAAAACTTCATGCTAATGTAGCATGAAGTTGTTTAATGTTGAAGCTAAAACTTCATGTTAATCTAGCATGAAGTTGTTTCACATTAAAGCTAAAACTTCATGCTAATGCATGCTGAAGTTATTTATCCTGCAGTCTACAATTTTGTCATAAGTTTTATCCGAAACTTCAGTCTAAACATGCTGAAGTTATTTAGCCATTTGTTAAAAACTTTAGACTAAACATGCTTAAATTTTTTAGTTCATTTGCTAAAACTTCAGACTAAACATGCTTCAGTTTTTTAGTTCATTTGCTAAAACTTCAGACTAAACATGCTAAGTTTTTGTCCTGCAGTGTGTAATTTTTTAATGAGTTTTTGCTAATGCATGCTGAAGTTATTTAGTTCATTTGCTTAAACTTCAGACAAAACATGCTGAAGTTATATAGTTCATGGATAAAACTTCAGATTAAACATGCTGAAGTTATTTAGTTCATTTACTAAAACTTCAGACTAAACATGCTTAAGTTTTTGTCTTGCAGTATGTAATTTTCTAAAGAGTTTTTGCTAATGCATGCTGAAGTTATTTAGTTCATTTGCTAAAACTTCATACCAAAACATGCTGAAATTTTGTAATGCAGTCTACAGTTTTGTCCTGAGTGTTATCCGAACTTTAGTCTAAACAAGCTGAAATTTTTTAGTTCATTTGCTAAAACTTCAGTGTAAACATGCTTAAGTTTTTGTCCTGCAGTTTGTCAATAGTCTTTTATTAAAGAAGGGCAAAATCATCATTTTAAAACGCTTTTAACAAAAAAATGGGTACGGATGCAAACGAAAAAACAAAACGGGTATAAGTTAAAAAGGAGCGACCAAATAGGGTGCCCATGCAATTTATACGCCTTTAGCCACGAGATCCATTGAACCGGCCCTAGGTCAAGGTGTGATGATTGTCCAAAAATTGTATAAGTAGAAAACGGCCCATACACTTGAACAATCTAGGATGAGACTCTAATTGTTAGACATTTTCTTATGCTTAAGACCGAGCTCTTCATTTTGAGAATTTTCATTTTTATGAGCTACTAATATGTAATAGTTTAATATACCAGCGGGTTTGTGATTTCAAAAAGATGACAATCAATCTGTTACAACTTGTCAAATTAACTACATGCTTTTAATTTGATAAAATCCTCTCATCATGAAGGAACATAACTTAAAAATATTTTACAAAAACAAGGAGCTTGCTTGAGGGATCGGTTAACTTAGTAGTCCAATTAAAGTTGGAATTTATATTAAAAACAAAGTGCATTTTCAGTTGTCAATTCCAATTATGTAGTCGCTTTAATTTGTTCCATTTTATATGTTACTATTTCTTTTTGCTGCTTTATTCAAAAAATAATGTCAAACTTTCTATAATTGGAAACCACTTCAGTTTTAGATCTTTTGTTTTACCTTAATGTCCTATTTGTATAAGTATAACCGTAAAAATGTCTTGCCTGGATCGATATATTATTTATGTGGTCTCTAGCGTAAATGATACCCCTGTTCTGGTATTAATTTCAACTAATTCTTGTTCCAATTAAGGGAAAAGGGATTCCGATTTACTTGGGGCACAATTTTTGGGTGTTACTTGGGACAGAATTTTGTTGGTGGTCTTGGGGCACAATTAAGCAAACAATGGAATCCTAAGCTGAGTTGGTCTAGGATTTGCTTCTACTTTATATATATAGGACTAGCTAAGTTGAGAAGTGACCACTTGCTAGGTTTCCCATCTTAAATCTTTGAATATGGAGTCTGATATGGAATACCACCATCCCTGTTCGGTTGGAGGCCTCCTAATTCGGCAACAAGTATCACCAATCAATAATGATAGGAGTAATAATAATACTATTTCTCCTTCTTCTTTAGCCATTCAATTTCACCTTAATACTGATGAACAATTTTGGTATAGACCAGCACCCCATGAACCTGGACTATTCCAAGGAGAGCGACGCCATATTAAATCACTTCGTGATCTCACACTGCCCCCTTTTGTATACATGTCATATGACATGTTCTACAGTGGCATGCAATCAAATCTCAACAACTGGGGTGAAGAGTTTGATCGGAATTATCGCCACGTCGTCATCCGTGATATGATAGGCAAAGTACGTGAAATTGTTGATGATGAGTCTAACAAAGGTCGCCGTATCTTGAAGGTGTTCGTTTCTTTAACTTTAGTCATTGACCATTATTCTGATGAGAGGAGTTTGTTGGAAGGATTGTCACCGCGCTTCAACGGGATGCTACCTGCTCGTAAGTCATCCATCATGAATGGAGATCGATGAAGATGAACGTATAAATGATGACTGTGTCATCTGTTTTGAAGAGATTGGGAAGGAGAGGAAGATTTTGTGCATGCCTTGCTCACACATGTTCCATGGAGAATGCATTACGACCTGGTTGGAGAAGAGTCATCGTTGCCCTATTTGTCGCTATGAGATGCCAACTGCTCATGTATTAGACTCCTAAATTAGTTGGATCTGTCTTTATTTTTGAGACTACAACACATGTACAATAATTGATGTATTAAGAAAGCTGAGTTGAATATAACACTTTGAACAAGTTGAGAGTTCCAAAAACTCACTTGCATTATATTTATGTTTTTTTTTTGTACATTTGATATTTTATGTTATGATCCAATCAAACACGTGAGCAATTGGACTGGTCACTTCGGGTCATTATTTAAAATCATAAAATAATAAGGGAAAGAAAGAATAATGAATTTTCAAGTTCAGTCTGGGTAAGAAAGAGTATCCATCTAAAGCTAGTGAACCTTTTCTCTAGGTTCAAGCAAAGCAAAAAACCATCACGAAATCAGGGAACATTATTTTTCTTAAACAAATTAATATACTAACACATTCCCCGAGTATATTTCCTCTTTCCAGTACTAATTAAAGCCACAAAAGAACATAATTCCACCATGCTGGTACAGCATTAACATTACACCTAATAAATTGTGAAAAGTGTAACAGCCATATAACAAGATTATATTATTAAAGAAATCATTTTTTAAATGTTTTAATTCTAACAAAAGGCAATGCTATATGTTCAGTATAACTAACCAGAGAGAGGTAATTTATAAACCTGTAACAACATATTCTAGAGCAGCATAGTCCTGTGTAGCCATTACTCAAGTAGATACATGAGTGAGATCACCAGTTGGCCCTGCCTTCGCCAAACCAAAACTAGACAGCTTTTGCATTAGATTCCTGCAGTCCCACAATGCAGACATCTTAAGCTTTGAAAGACACCCGGAAAAAGGTTTTTTAAGAGAAGGCAAATTTATACATAGGTTGATCAGAGTCTGATACGTACCCACAAAATATAAGAAGCCTTGAAATCCAAATATATGACTAGTTCTTTGGCATCATGGAGGAAAGCAAGGTCTCTAGTAGCACGATAGCCATCTTAATTCTTGTTGCCCAATTCAGAGGCTGAGGTCCTCCTGTTTAACAAAGACTAACCAAAAGTTACCACCAATCATGAATCCACGCACATTAAAAGTTTCACTAGGATGCCTGAATTACACTGAGTCACTGACAACTGTGTCAAACTGCATAAAGTATATCACAAGTAGAGGCGGATCCAGAATTTTAAGCTTATGGTTACTATAACAATCTCAAGTTAATCTACATGAAGACCGGACCAACGAACTGGATTCCAAACTAAATATTCTTATACTTTTAGTGAAATTTTTAGTATAAATACAGGATGTATGCAAAACTTACTGGGTTCAGGGGAACCCATACCCTTTGCTCTACATCCGCCCCTGATCACAAGGACAAAAAAACAAAGATAACATGGATCCAATTTAGCATGCCCGACTATGCATAAAAAGGGGACCATAAAAATCCCAATACTCGGTAATGCCACCTTAAAGAGGATTAACATAGAATGAATCCGAGACATGATCAAATATTTGGCATTTAAGACAGGATGTAGCACATAAATCCTGCTCTGATTGTGCTTGTTGCTTTTCCTTTAGTTTTTTCTACTTTTATCATCTTATATGATAAATTGTAAGTAGTTTGAAACCTAAAACAAGCAACAAAATATCCTGAAGTAGTGATGACACGTGAAATAATTCTAAGGAACCATAACCAAATGAATCCAAAAAAATGAAGAGCCACATGTTGATATGTTTGTCAACACCCCCCCCCCCCCCCCATCCAAGAGCAGAGCATTTAAGAAGAAAAAAATCAAAAATGGTGGGACATAGGCGAAATGAGGGAAGGGCAAAAAAGCTTTTATAAGGTAGAACAAAGAGGCAAACAGCAGATACAACAACAACAACAATAATAATAATAATAACGACAAACTTTCCTCCAAGTCCTTGGAAGGTTCAACCGCACATCTGTTTAAGCTCGTTTGCTGAAACATCTCTAAAGCTCTTTTACCATGCTCATGGAAGGCTAATCCACACATTACAGAATACCAAGAAATGACATCACGATTCGAGATGTTGGAAAATTCCAACATTGCAGTGCCTGTTGCACTCCTAAATTACTTGTTGACTGTCGTATTAGAAATTGATTTCAAACAACTAATTCCTCTTTTAATAACTTTATAAATGAGTTTGTTTTCCCAAATTTAGGAGATGGTAGGTTTGAGCATACAGTAACTACACTTGTAAAAGTAGCTTCATCCAATAATACTCCTTCCTCTTTCATTGGAATAAACAATTTGATTGCATCCTAACCATTGTCATTTTTCCTAGTCCAAATATTGTAGCATTCCTTGAATTTGTATCACGATATGGAAACTGATCAAAAAGTTTCATCTCTCTATATCAACCTCATTGAAATACCCTATGACTACATTAGACTCTGATAGAAAAACACTAAACGGGTTTTTCTATAGAAGTGTGTGAGCTTCTTTCACTAACCCATTCGTTATAAATCTCAACAAATCAGAATTCTATGATCTTCCTATTTTTTGTGGCATCTCACTGAAAAGCCTTATAGATTTGAGTATTTCTCCATTATTCACCAATCAATTTATCATTCCATTCCAAGAGTCACAATGCCTCATAGGCATGTTGTGAAACAAAATAAATGCAATGTCAATCCATCATTTTTCTAAATATCCAACCATGATAGTATTTCAAACTTGAACATACCTTATTTCCATGTTGCCGAAACATTTACCTTGCCCCAACAATTTTCCCAGCACTAATCATCATAATAATGCAAGATGCGACATCCTGGTCACTCATCTGCCTGAATAGCTCTTTGCCAATTCTTCCAAGAAACTACGTCTTTTATAGGCATACCCGCAAATACCTCAAGTGCTTCATCCAAGAATCCGTTATTGGCATCCTGGGATCATGGAATTTTATGTCACCATATCTTGATCCTCCATAGATTCAAAAATCCCTTTAGCACCTTCTACATCCCTTAAGCACCTTCTACATTCCCAGGCTGCATCGACCCTGAAATCATTGGGTTATACGAAAACACATCAGAAGACAACATTTCACTGTAGAAACACACAGCTATCTCAACATTCCTAGTTAGGAAATACCCTCTAATAACTGCATTCAATGTGCCTCTGTTTCTATCAGACATTTAATCAAACACCTTTTGAGCTTCTTTAAAAAGGCCATTTCTCATGAAACTTTCGGCAACTTCGAATAAAGGAGTTTCAAGTTTGGCGGTGTTACTGCGCATCGACTTCTCAAACGAAGCTTCAAACAGTGAATGTGCGGTTGTTTGAGCAACTGAACGCACTGAAGAATGAACATACCCCATTTACCAGCAAAAAATGTTCAAAGATTTAAAAATCAGAAAACTGAACCGTTGCTGCTGCTAAACCGCCCGGTTTTTCTGGTGGGAAAGGACCTCTAAAAGATAAACTAATTAACGGTTGGATTTTTCCCGCGAAAAAGTTAAGTTGTTAGAATGTTACAATGAATGGAAATTTTAATTTATAATGAAAAAAAGAATGATATGATGAAAAAGAAAAAGAATGATACGACTAACTCTTATAATAAACTAGATAAAATTACTCGTTCTAAAGCACGGGCCCAATAATCTAACTTAATGTTTCTAGGGAAAATACTAGCTATATCCATTTATAAGTAGCTTATTACAAAAATTGACAAATTTATAAATATTATTAGTATTAGCAATTTAGCTATATGTAGCCCCAAAAAAGGTAAATTTTTTGCTTTCTTTTGATGAGTGTTATTAATAGATTGGGTACATCTTAAGAAGCTTGAATCTCAATTTTGGAATGATTTGGTGGAGTTTTGAGGTGGTTTAAATTGAAAATTCGAAGTAGAAGATGAACATGAAAAAAATAATAGGTGTATCTATCACATATGTATCACATGTATATCCATGTATACCTGGGTGTGAGATACATGCATGATACATGTTTGATAGATGTGTCGCACAAGAATTTTTTGAACTCGATTTTAACTACGAATTTCAATACCAAACCAGTCCAAATAACCTCCATTCTTCCTCAAAATTTGTATATTGACTCATCTATATGTTTTCAATGAATCTCAACCATACCCATTGAAAAAAGTCATTTTTTACGTAGATATTTGGAATCTTATATATATATATATATATATATATATATATATATATATATATATATATATATATATATATATATATTCCATCACTTTGTTTGCTACCTCATCCATGAAATTTCATTTCCATCTTGTATCTAATGTTGCTAATCACGCTTGAAAATATGGAAGGAGATCTTTGTGTGTGATTCTTGGAGAGAAAGAACCTTGTTTCTCTGGGTTTTCATTTTTTATATATGCTTGGCTAGTTTTGGTAAGTCTTTAATTAATGTCTAGAGGTTGGTAAGTTGGGACATTTTTGGGACATTTCTATAAGATTCCTATGTTTCTACTGTACACAATAAAACTTAATATGATGTTTAATATATTACATTAGGATTTTGTTGGCACTTTATGTGTTTTATCGTTTATTCTTTAAGTATTTCATCTTCTTTTGATATCTTAGTTGTAAATTATGGTGTATTTATTTTGTTGTGAAGCTCTTTTTCTTATTTTAGCATGAATCTTGTGATTTGAGACTCACGAAGTAAGTATCCAACATATACATTATCAATTTCTGATCGAAAAAGATGTTATATTGTTGCATAATTTTGTTGGCGAGTTGGTAAAATAATCTAAAATTTTCAACAACAAAAAAATAAATAAATTATTTGGTCTCTTAGTTTGATACTAATAGCAAATCTCGTGATTTATATTTACAGATACGTATATTATACAAATCCCTTGGGACTGCCATAACTGGCATGATATAGCCAAAACAAAATTATGAAGATAAACTACATTAAAAAATAGCTTATTCCAACACGAAAAGCTTATCTACTATATTTACATATGAAATAGTCTAGTCCAATATTTTTTGTTCTTAAAGTATTATGTATGCACCACTGCTGGTTCTTTCTAAATCGAGTGTATGCATATTGCAGGATAAAAAAGAATGATTTTTTCTAATCATCATATAATTTGAGAAAACACGTTTTAATGCCTTTGATGTTTGGCGAAATGGGTGATTGATTTAGTTTTTTTTCTTCCTATGGTCATATTTTTTTTTAATTCTTATTTTTTCGAATACTCATTTGCTTCATCTTGTTGATTTATTATTAGATTCTATTTGGTAGTGTCGAAGTGGATGATAAAGTTAGTTTTTTTTTTGTTGCTCACATTTTGCTCTTAATTCTTATTCAATTGGATTTATCATCTATTCGTTCTTAGATTCTAGTGCACGCAGTCACATGGTTATACTTCCTACACCAGATTGAGATTGAGAATTCTAACTCTTGTGTAAATTCAAGGATTTTCAAGAAGTAAAGAATGTTATTCTTTAGAACTTTTGACAATTTGATGATGATAAATAAAACAAGATATGTAAAAAGGGGGGAAAATTGTTTGTTTGTTTCCCACAAGGCAGTAGCTCCAAAGTCTTTCTATTTATCCACCATTAAATTATTAACTATAATAGTGAAATTCCACACCTACCATCTTTAGTATGTTTTTTATACATGAAAAAGGAAATGGAGTGACTCAAAAAAGTAGTCGTCGAGCCTAATCCACTTATAACACCTTTGTCTTTATTAGATTAGCTAATCAATATACTGAAAATTTAATGTTAAAAGAAAATCTATATCTATATTATATTAAAAGGAGAGTAGTATGCATTGTGGTTAAGTCAAGTGACAAGCTAAAATGAAGTCACTTGGCAATTTTAGGACAACATTAATAATTAGAAATTATATATAGAAACATAATTAATGGTAGTAGTTTAATGAATCTTATACATAATCAAAATAGATCTTAGACAAATCTAATTTATATATCTACATTTATATTTATATTTATATTTATATTTTGATCCACTCATAGATTTTCTTCTATATTAGCTAAAAATATAGAGGTAAAAAGTAAATTAAGAAACTATGATAGAAAAAAATAAAAAAGACAGAAAGACGTAAATTGAGGTAGTATATGACAATTATGCTTTTGATTAAATTAAAATATAAAGTAAAACAAAAATTTACTTAAAGATATTAAAAATTGATTGACTCTAAAAATTAAAAAATTCGCAGCAAAATAAAATCTTACACAAAATATATAAATTATTTATAAGATAAGAAAAAAATTAAATAATCAGTAAAAAAATAGTTTAAGAACAATAATAATAAAGTCATATTAATATTGACAAATCGGGCAAATGAATATTTTATACGTAATATTACTACAACATTTAGTATAATGTGTTCAATCAATTAAATAAATTATTTTCTATGATTAATATTTTAATTGAGTGTAGTTAGTTTAAGTTTAAAAGCATAAAATATTTTTTGAAAATGCGGTCCAATTAAGAAAATAGAATGACAATAATTATTTGAATTTGAGATGAGATTTTTTTAAAATGTGATAAGAAAAATCATATTTTGGAATATGAACAATAAAGTCAAAGTTACTATTGAAATATTTTTGAACCTTTATCTATATTATATTAGAATGAGTGCGGTAGAAATAGATATTAAATTCAAATAGGCTAATGAAAAGCCACATGACAATGTAATAATATTAGGTATTGAATAAAATAATAGCAAATCTAAAGAATAAATAGAGAAACTTAAGATTTTTTATCATATAGAAAAAAGGGTAAAACTTCTTTAAATTTGAGATGAGAAAGTTTTTTATATTATGATAAGAAAAGTCATAATATGGATAATTCCACGTAACTCAAGTCTAATAGATAAAATCGAAAACTAAAAATATTAAACAATAAAAATAAATTAGAGATAATGTGAGAATGTTTATATTCATAATATATACAATAATTAATAATATTATTATCCAAATTTAAATAATTTAAAATTTTCGAGCAATATTCTAAAACAAAATAACTATTTATTTTATGATTAAATAATTTATATGTTTATCTATATTATATTAAATAAAGTTACACGTTATGAAAAGCCACGTAAAACGTAATAAGACTATATATTAGATAAAAATATTAAAATTAAAGGTAATTATTAAAAAGTTACTATTAGAAATGAAAGTGAATGACTATTTGATTGTGATATTTGAAACTTCTTAAAATTATGACGAAACTATGGATAATACCACGAAATTGAAGTCTTATTTATGAAAAATAAAAAACTAATAAGAAATAAAATTTTAAAAATACAAAATAAAATTCAAATATAGGTAATATTTTACTAATAAAATTAAAAACTAAGTTTGTATCTTAAATTAAAAAGGAACGAAAATTTACATAAAGAAATTCAATGAGAGTGAAAATATTACTACAACACATAGAGTAATTTGTTCAAACAATTAAATAAATATTTCCTATTATTTATATCTGAATGAGTTTAGTTAGTTTAAGTTTGAAAGCATAACATAATGTTTTGAAAATACTCCAATTTAGAAAATAGAATGATTAAAATTATTTGAATGTGGGATGGGATTATTTTTATTTCATAATTTTTTATTTTTGAAAATATTACGTAAAGAAATAGAATGACAGTGAAAATGTAATAATCAAAGACTTATGTATTAATATTTTATACTAATTCAAAGTTATAATTTAAATAAAAATATGATATTATTTTGGTAATAGGTAAAATATTGATATAAAAATAAATTAAAATTTATAGTAGGGAAGAGAATGTATAAAAAGAAGAATAGACTTATTCTTTAAATTAATTTCAAAATAAATAAATGAAATAATTAATTTATCTTGCAAAAAAAAATTATTGATAGAGTTAAATGATTAAAGAATTCCGAGTAAGAGGATACAAGCATAAAATATATTAAATTTCAAGAATAAAAAATTTATATTTATTAATAATTATTAAAAGGATAATAAGTAAGATATTAGGTTAATTGTTAAGCTAATAAAAGATTATATGATAGTATAATAATATTAATAATATATAATACAATAACTATAAGTTAAGAACAAAAAGAAAAAAGAGTTTGCATAAAAATAATATGATGAATAAAACTTATTTGACTTTCAGATAAAAACAAAGTAATAGTAAGAATTTTGTTAAAATACGTTCTAATGTGCTCAAACAAGACAGATCACAACATGACATGTTTGTATTCATTAATAGTGATAGCGAAACGAAATTCAAATACTTGAATCAAGGGGTTAGATTGCTATAGATATAGAAAAATTAGGTTGTCGACTGCTATTTGAACAATAATTTCTTATCCTGCTTCTTAATTAATATCTAAAGATTGTATAATTTTTATCTGAGAGGTTTAGTTTAAGATTATCTGCACATGATTCGAACAACATACATCACAATTTGATATGAATTGTGTCCACGCATCGCGCGAGT